GAAAGGAGACTTTATACCCACGGCAAAACGTGGAATAGTCCCCATGGATCATGCTGACATATTAAGATTCTACAATCAGAGAAGAACAGGGTGAGTCCTTGGGAGCAATCCAGGATCTACCGCCTTCGCCCGAATGGAAAGCACGGTCATTATACCAGTATTTGGTCCCTTTTTTTTTCAGTCCAGATACAGCTATAGACTATAGTGGCCGGGAGTTCTATTCGGGTGAAACAGCGGTGGCTATGTTGCTAGCCAAGGAGCAAAGTGCAACAAAAAACAGCAGGAAAAACAGGAAGGACGTGCAGCTCTAAGGCAGGAGAAACGACAAACAAGACAAGAGCAGAAAGATAGGGAGAGAGAGGAAAGTCAAATGCGGTTGGGGCGAGAAGCGTTGATCTCCACATGTCAAGATGTTGGCAAGACATGCAGGAGGAAATCGGATGGGGCCCCAAGCGCCAACAACATGGAAGTCGATATAGACAAGAAATTTGGGGATGACGGACCACGTACGGCGAGCCTCACCTCGGTGGGGATCTCGACGTATGAAGACGTTGAAGCCGACTGAGATGCGGAAGAAATGCACTCCGGTCCGGTACCCATGCAAGCATACACATGACCCCCATGAGAATGAAAACATGTGAAGTCTACACCATGGTCGCTTATGAAAAAACGAGCGTAAGGGACATGGCAGACCCAAGGGAAAGATGTGAAGTCTACAACATCATCACTTCTGAAAAAACGAGCGAAGGGGCATGGCATGGCAGACCAGAGGATAAGATGTGAAGCCCACACAATCATCGCTGGTGAAAGACCGAGCGAAGGGGCATCGCAGACCCAAGGGTAAGATGTGACGGTCTACACCATGGTCGCTTGTGAAAAACCGCACAAAGCGGCATGGCAGACACAAGGGTTTGACAAAGACGAACATGAAAACCGCGCTGAAGCCAATCATGGTGCAAGGCTTAAACCACCAGTACTTCCTAGAGTAGTGCCTGTTAATGCGCCGCGGTTTTAGAGAAATGCACGGGACACTACAGGAGCGCCCAAATTCATCCAACTAGAAACATTTCAACTCCTTTTTTTTTTGGCGGCCTATAGCTGGGCCAAGTACTGGAGTTTTAAGAGACGAGGAGGATACTACAACAAAGGAAGCATGCACGGGATCTGATCCAGGAGCGAGGGCCAGATTAAACGAAGACAGACAAGCACCCTTGTAAGATTATCCAGACCATATGTAAGAACAAATAGCTGCCCTATATACATAAGGGGGCGGCTGAGTGGAACAACGGGCGCAAATTCCATTTGACGTGTCGCCCTTTGAGAATCCGGCGGCTCTACTGAAAGCGAGAGAACCATCGCCCAATAGCGAGAGATTGTGAGTCTGAACCGTCTGCCTCGAAGTGATGCGGAGTGCATGACAGCACGAGCTACGGAGGATTTGCGGGTGCACGGCGAAAGCGAGACATTTATACAATTCGTATCGTCTACATACGATGCAGAAGACGACACAGGGATTCCCTCTGCCCCCTGCGGTGCAGTTTTCCATATGTAGTAATTTTCTATATTCTGGATTCAGGTCTAGATTCAGATTCCTGGTCAGGTGGATGGCATCTTTGTGGGCCCCACTCGGAATGGAAGCTGCGCCTTCACAGACAAGGCTTTTAGCTTGTATGTCACACTTCAGAGACGAGTCTCCCGCTCCTTTTGTCAACTTACTAGACACAGACGAGTCTTCCATTCGTAATCTTTTTCTTAAACCGCCACAACCTCCGAGCGATTTTTTGCTGAGGCGGAAACGAACTGCCCGCCAAGCATCGCCGCCGCACTAGTGCGACTTTTTCGTGCGTGCGTGTTTTGGCTGCCGCCACCATCCATTTCGGAACCGTGGCGCGCCCTACCTCCGAAAAAGAATGCCCAGTACACAGGTTACGTTTTCATTTCGAGTTTGCCTGTGCAAGGTAGTAGTGGCAAAAAAAAACTGACCTTACGCTTTTGTAAGTTGAAGCTCTCGTTTACTTTTGAGCCAAGTCCAGTCCCCTGCTTTCCACAAAAACTTTTCTTTCAGTAGCCTTTCAATCCTTAGCTTGAGCCTCTACCACCACTGGGATAGAGGCCATGCACGAGGACCTTAAACCACTATTACCTCCGCCAGTGTTGGGAAAATAGGGAACAGTGGCATTTTTGCCAAACTCGACGACTGCCATTGATAAATCTGATCAACGGTCGTCATTTCGTTTCGGCCTCCGAAAAAGTCGGACCAACCGAGGCCCGCCATTTTCCCACGCGGCAAAGGTACTAGTGGTTGAAAAAAAAAAGAAAGAAAAGGCCTGCGCCTCAGGGGATACCCACTAGAGCGCTTTCGACGTTGTGCCCTCTGTAACGACAGCCTGAGGGGGAGCCCATTGCGGCTCTTCTTGTCCCAGATATGCTCTTTGCCTTCCGTATGCATGAGGTACCTTGAGGTGCCATGATGTACCATGTGGGCCCGCGTCGGAGGCAGCACAATTTTCAGTAGCATGCACGAGGTACAGCGAGAACCGCCCACACAACACACTCGACAAAATAAACACAACAGTCGGCGAAATAATCCTACCTACTCGCAAAGGGAGTCGACTCTTTCAGTAGCATGCATGAGGTCAACTCTTTCAATGCGGCATTGAAAGAGTCTACCACCACACAGACTTCCTTGGGGATCCCCGCCATTCTAACAGCAAACAGGAGATTTCCTTGAGGATCCTCAAGGATGTTTCGCTCGATCGGGGACTTTCCAAATGCATATCTGCTCTTATGGTTCCCCCTTACATAACAGCCAGGCTTTTTAATGTGATTTTAACTGATTTATGCATATGCAGCCAGCCACATGGCTGTGGTTCGAAGAGCAGAAACACACCAAGCAGAAACACACCAAGCCGGAACGCTACCACGAACGCTAGCCTCGGTTACGTCGTATTGCCGACCTGTGGCAGATGGGTGCCTTGCATGTTTGCAGGTACAGCCAGAGGGCTCTCGCTTCTGGTCAGTGAGAGTATTTTTGTGCCTCACTGCCAACAAAAGTAGGGATCAGAGGGGTGAGCCTCAGGCTGCTGTGTGTGCTACTCCCTCTTTCAAGTGTTCACCCTTTCCCTCTTTTCTGTCCAAGTGTTTCCCTGCCGGCCTGACTCACCCCCCTCCCTACTCTAACCGCCGTAGCATCATCATCAACTTCTAAGCAGCAGCCGACAGACTTCAGCAAGGGCTCCACAGCTATAAGCCGTGGCAGGCTGGCAGCACAACTCAAAGTCCGGCAGCCATGATGCCAGACAACAACACATTGTAGCACTACGCCACCAACAAAACACCGCGGCATTATGTAGTAAAAAAAAAAAAAAAAAAAGATTACCACGAGACCACAGACATTCTATGTGCAGTGAAGGGAGAAGAATGGTGGAGAGTTGAAGTTCTTTCTCGCGAGTTGTCGTGTTACGACCTCCTGGATTTACTCTCTCCAATAAAAGCTTGTTGTTGATACTTGGACTGATCGTCGGATTGTGTGTTTGTGAATTCTCACCCATCACTGTGCCGGTAAGGAAAAAAAAAAAAAGAAAAAAAAAGGATTAACTTAAGTTCGATTAACACAATTTAACACGGGACGGCAGACATTCTATGTGACGCCGACATAACAACAACAACAAAAAAAAGAAAAAAAGACACAGGATAGCATGCATTCCATGTCGACAGATGGGACGACCTACCATGACCGTCGAAAAGGGCGGAGACACATAAGTGTCATAGGGAGGGGGAGTTTCACTCACCATAACGCTGTATTTATTTATGATCAAGCCACCTAACCGCGACATAGCAAGTACCCAATGCCAACCCTTCACCAAGTAGCCAGTTGTTGGCTGGTATCCAATCGAGAGTCGAAAAAATACATACCCGTCCTTCTTTACCGTCTTACCCGATGCGTATAGGCATATATGCATTATGTATCGAGTGCTTAGTATTTACTATTTAGTATTTAGTATTTGCCCCTCCTTAGGGACCCGTGCGACGCTCAGCGACAGGAACCATAATCCTTATGTATCTCGACATGCTTCAGCCAAAGGTAGATGCACCTAGCTCCCTCACTCGTACACGGGACCCCCCCAGATCATACACAAGACACAGCAGCAGAATATTCAGGACTTAAGGACGAGAGGTCACAAACGTCAGCCCCTTGAACACACCAAGGACTCCTCTTTTCTATCGGTCTAATAATCAAAACAAGTATATATTATATATACTATATACTTTTTTTCTTTTTCTTTTTCTTTTTCTTAATTCGGATATCATTATGAAACTTACCGGCCCCAAGTAATTCAGAGTTTCATTCATCTGGTTCCATCATCTGGATTCGAACTCGCATCTGCATTTCAACAGTTCATGGGTGTACCCACTGCGCTAGGCCAGTTGGTACAATACAAGTAAGTACATACCATATACTAACGTAGAAGTGAATAATATATATTTAATATAACCTTAACATCAGTCGGTTTTGTAAACAAATTACTCGCTTCTTCAGAGATCTTCCATGTCCGACATAACGTGCTGGTTGAATACGAGTGACGCAAGAGCGCACCATACCATATTCTGATCATCACGACGATTCACAAACACAAAATTTATTAGCGCCTGAGGCACACACTGTGAAAGCAAAGTCCCACTTCTAATCACATCACACACATATATCGGTTAAAAAAAAGGGCCCTCGTGTACCAAAAGGCCACCTCTTTAATGTCCAGAAAGGAAATGCTTTCAAAAATGAAAGAAAGAGGCCCCCCCCATCACACACATATACATCGGTTTAAAAAAAAAGGGTCCTCATGTACCCAAAGGCCACGACTTTAATGTCCAGAAGGGAAATGCTTTCAAATGACAGAAATAAATCCCCCCCCCCCCCCCCCTCCCCCCCCCTTCTTTTCCCCCCCGGCGGGTGTTAGGCAATGCAGTAACCCCACCCCTGCACTGGACAGTTTGTGCAATCGGGTTTGCTTAATTACCACGGTCCCTCGTAACAGCGCATACACAAAACGCATTGAATCTTTCTAGATAATAATACAGATACTCAGCCCAGAAATCAGATGAGGGTGCTGATGTGCACACCAGATCCCACCTTGTCCATGTCCAACAGCGATAAAAATAAACAGAATTCCATCACTGTTGGGGCGACTCAATCACTCCCGTTCCTGACTGTTCGCACCTGTGTTTGCGTCTCCATCCTGTCCCCTCAATGGAGAGCACACAACGTGCTTCCGATTTCTCGCATTATATGAGTATACTTGCCGTATATATGACTATATTGTGTATATATATATAGTCATATAGAACTTGTGTGTGCGCTGCTGGCAGAAAGGGAGAGAAGGACGAGAAACCGACGGCCATGACAGACTGTTTCATTGAGAGTTTCACCAACTCGTTGAAAGGCTGAACCCGTACAGTCTGCAGAGTACCCTAGCCGTTGATACTGTTAAGCGATAACCCACCTTAACCCACCAGTTGCCAAGAGCCTAAATTGACGACTCTACCTTCCGAGGCTTGAAAAAACCTGGTCTCTTTTTTTCCCCATATTGTCGTTCCATGTTCTCTACTGTCCCAGGCCCGAAGCTTCGTGGGCTAACACAGGTAAAAACCAGTAAGAGCCCCACTTAGCTTCACGCGAACCGGTGCTTCAAACCTAGTTGCGGTTTGGCACCAACCACTGGCCCACAACTAATACCCTAAGATGGGCACCAGCAACTGCCCTGCAGGGTACATACGACAAAAAATCCAAGAAAAGAGTATCACCCACCCACCCACCCACCCACATGCACCAGACGGAAGACCCTACAGACTGTGAGTCGTATAGATAGATACATCCATATCTATAGCCACATATTCCCCAGACTGCCAACGTCATACAGCACAAATTAAGCACCTTATTTAGGTTCCCTTACACTTGCGCATTGCGTACTAGCCCATGTCATTCAAGGATCTGCCTCGCGTGCCCCAATCCTTCGCTTGTAAATGCAGCTGAGTCCCAAGTCCCAGTCCTGAGTTCCAATCCCAGTCCCAGTCCCAGTTCCGAGTCCCCGTCCCGAGTCCCCATCACCCACCAGGGATGGGGTGCAGCATTCCATTAGACGGAAAGACAAATTAATTGTGTATGGCCTCAGCCGCATGTACAATATTCACCGATGCTTTTAGGTAAAGAGTTACTCTCACTTGTACAACGTTCCCCGATGCCAGTCCCAGTCCAAGTCCCAGTCCCAGTGCCAAGTTCCAGTCCCAGTCCTTTCTTTGCTTGTAAATGCAGCTGAGTCCCAAGTTCCAGCCCTGAGTTCCAATCCCCGTCCCAGTCCCAGTCCCGAGTCCCAGTCCTGAGTCCTCGTCCTGAATCCCCGTCCTGAGCACCAACACGATTCAACTGACCTGAGTACGACAGCCTCTGATCACTCACCTTACCTGATGATGAAACAACTGATCAGCAGCTCCAGCAACTCCGGGAGACGAACTTGGATTCTGCTGCAGTCCCGTTCCGATAGCACGGACATCCGTGTAAAGGAACCAACACCCAGCATCAGCGCAAGTAGCAATAGATGCAGAAGACATGGACGCGCGGGCAACTCCCGGAAGAACGGCAAAAGACGCCAACGACTGGACCGACTAGTTTGCTTAATACCTGATTTATTGGCTGGTGAATTCTTCGAAGAATCTATCGCCTGTACATGCATTCAAAAAAATACCATCCTCAAAACAGCTGCCGCTCTGTAGCATCAATATGTCACCCTAGGTGCTCAGGTCTCTGATCTGAGAAATCGCACTTTCCAGTCTCTAGTACGCACCTGAGCAGTCTTACACAGGGTATCGGACAGCCAACTTACAAGATCAAGTTGTCACTTAGACAAATCGCAGATCCCCAGCCAACAACTACCTTCCTCCCCCCTCCCTCCCTTGCCCCTGACCCCCACCCCTGCGCGCACCCTCTTCCCAATGCCTTTAGACAACTCACAGATCCCCAGCTAACGGGTACCTCCCTCCCCCTCCCTCCCTTGCCCTTGCTCCCGACCCCCCCCCCCGCCCCCMCCCCCMCCCCCCCCGCTCGCCCTCTTCCCCATTGTTTCCTCTCTTCCTGAGGTAAGTGTAAATTTGACGAGCCCCCTCTTGTTTGGCATTGTCTGAGCCCTTTGCCTGGCAATATCTGAAACGCATGTGCGTCAAGCTGAGCAATGAAGACAAAGGTGCAGCAAGCAAAAACATACGGACACAAGGTTGAAGGCTTAAAGCTTAAATACGCCAGACTGCGACCAATTAATCCACCAGTACCCACAGCACCACTGAAGTATGCTAATCCCAGAAAAGAGTGTCGGATATCTTCCATCTGACAGTGGAGTTTTGCCCAGAGGCTCCGAAACAAATAGCAACATAGGGTACTGCTGGTTGAAAATGTGCGACATCAACACAAGCCAGTAGGCACAGATAGAATTCCACCTCAATGACCACCTCCGACCCCCCGCCTCCGCCACCTCTTCCCCCCTCAGCACCCCCTTCTCCTCCCCCTGCAGATTGAGAAGTCGCGCTGATGTGTGCTTCACCCACCCAGTCTCTTAAGACGACTCCACAGATGGAAGACACTGTAGCAACACTGGTTGCAAAACGAAGTTGAATGATGTATTGTCAACATTGGAAGGAACTCATTCGGGATGTATGTAGAAACATATGTAGAAACATATGTGGAAACATACGTAGAAACATACGTAGAAACATATGTAGAAATAGAAACATAAGTAGAAAACATCTTCATTCCAGCAGATTAAACACAGCGAGCAGCACCTTCCACATGTACAACACTGGCACATGGGTGAGATATATCCAGACCAAGCTCTGAGCTGCAGTAATGGCATTAGGCACAAGGGGATTGCCAGATCAACAACATAAGACTCGTTTGCTTCAGCTCAGAGAGACCGAGAAGGCACCCGTCAAGAGTGGAAGATGAAAGAAAAGAACCGCAAAGGCATGTTGCTGAATAACTGTGCTTGAATTTGTGTCTGTTTACACATTACCCTACCTGCCAAAAAAGTAGCCCGCACAAATACCGCCTGTTCTGATGGGTAGGTTTCTGCTCTTCCACCGAACTTTTTCTGACCGCACACTGTGCACAGGCCGTAACGTCGGAAGATGATCCACTGAGCTACGATCACAACAAACCGATCCCCGACAGCCAACAAAATCAATCTGAGCCCGCTGCACACTGCTATGACGCGGTCCTTCCCAGCCCCTTCATAAAGATAAATCAACCATCCACTCCACGGGGGTGGGGGCAAGCAGGGCCGTAAGTTTCCGCCGAAATCCCAGAAGCAGAAAGCTCTCATCGACACAGGAAAGCTCACCATACTGCCCACAACATACGAGCCTTCCCGGTTCCCTCCAACCCTGCTATAGCAGAAAACTCTCAAATGCAAACAGAGCGTCACCACGATTCCCACCACATTCGACGCGTGCCTGCAACTCCGCTCGCGAACGTTCTGAAACATGGGACACGGATCGCCACAACAAAGAAGTTGATGACGAAGCAGTCTGACCAAACGCTGCTGAGACGAGCAATTAAGATCAAGTCCGGCGGCTCCCGCCAAATGCTGCTAATCGCATCAAAAGGGATGGAAATGCAGCATAGGGGGGTGGCTTTGGCCTTGCTGAGCAGCTCGCCCCTGACATTTGGAATAGGCCAATGTCGCTTTCGCCCAGCCCCATCGACCGGGCGTTCATCTGTCAGTTCGGGACCGCAGACCGGACGATCACATGCGATTCATATCTGACGCAAGCATCAGAAATGGGTAAGGAAGTGTGTGGCTTCGTAACTTCGGTCCCGGGAAATGTCGATGATCTGGACATCATGCATGCTCCGTGAACCTATAAGTCGCCTTCCCATGTTCCTCGATACCGAGCACCCAATGCAGTTACCCAGTCGATACCACAGGGAAGGGTGACGAGCGGTGAGGCATGTTCGCCTGTTCATTAAACTTCATTTCCAAATTGCGGTCTGTGTGTTACAGCGCAGCGCCATTACTTGTTTTTGCCTTCCAGATGCGAAAAAAACTTCCGTAGATGCTGAATGTACTGAGGGAAGAACTCCAAATCACAGTGTTTTCCACCTTCTATCCAAAGAGGCTCAAAAGGATTCTTGCAAAGCTCGTGCAGCCGCTTCCCGTGCGAGCAGTCCACCACCTCATCGTTCGTGCCCTTCAGTAATCGGAAGGTCAAAGTCAACATCACGACATAACAACCCACACGGAAACATATATTTTTCAGTACGGGGCGGAACCCCTAAACCCCTAAAACCCTAACCCATAACCAGGAGCTTGTTATTAGTTCGAAGATAGAACCCCTTCTTCGATAACCAGGAGGCTTTCGTGCTGATTGTCCGCGACTCCACACC